ATTCTCTTAGACTCTTGTAGCAGCACAATGTCTGGGTCACACCGTCTGATTACCTCTTTTATTGTCGCCCTCTTCCTTGCACTCCCAATTCCCCTCACATTCCAACTAAKAATCTTCATTCCGCTTCTTGGTGAACCCCTTGCCACTTACCACTACTTTCCCCTTTCCTCCTGTCTCCCTTTACCTCGAGCCTCTTATCACCTTCTACATCTCTCTTCAATCTCTCTACTTCACTCAATAGTCTCAAGATGATCAATCTCATACCACAATGATTTCAAGGTGGAGAAATAGATTGACACGGGTTTCTCCCCCTGTTTAAGATTATTAACCTTAATTTTCAGTTCATAGGCCCTAGCAACATTAACGGGCTGAGAATAGGTTTCTTTCATATTGTCCCAAATCTCCTTAACTGTCTTTGCCCAAAGATAGTTTCTACTGATATGAGGCTGCATGGAGTTGCATAACCAAGTCATAACCAAATAATTTTCTTGAACCCATTTAGAAGGGTCCTCCTGTACTGATTTATTTGTCTTCCATCACATACCCTAGCTTTCCCCCCCTCCAATGGCCATCACGACTGATTGGGCCCATTCCAAATAATTTGTTCCATCAAACTTGATAGTAATTTGAAATGAATTGTTGTCAATAGAGTTATCTACTCCTACAAGTCCTCCTTTTGGTTTGTTCTCATTTCCGGCCATTTCCATGATGAAATGGACACAGAATAATCACTGAATGGAGAGTATAGCACTGTCCAAACTCCTTTTCGAAACAGAAATTCCAAGTATTGTCCAAACAACACCCAAAGTAAATAAAAAACTTCAAAGGCCTTTTTAAAAAACACAAGGGCAATAGAGGAGACCAACACTGTCAAAAATAATACAGCCCAGAAGAACAGTCCATAAAGAAGCCCTAAAACAATCCAAGAGAATAGCCGAACAACTGTACTGATTCCAGAGATATCTCAAACACTTGACAGTCCAAAAAATATGAAAACAACCCAGAAATTACTGGGCTAAAACAGTCCAAGAGAACAGTCGAACAGTTGTACTGGTTCTAGATAAATTTCAAACACTTGACAGTCCAAAAAAATATGAAAAACAACCCAGAAATTACTGGGTGCCACTCTCAATCTCTGATTTATGCTCTAAATCATAAACCAACCTGTTTTCTCCGATTCTTCCTGGTCACCAGACAGCTCTCCAAGTAATTTGAACCTTGGGCACCTTCTTCAATCTCCAATGACCTCCAAGAACCAGGTGAATCAATCTTAAACTTACAGCCCTAGAACTACTCTCATGTAGTCGGCTAGACAACACCAACATGAGAGCCCAAACCAGGTTTAGGCCTTATCTGATACCAAGTTGTTTGAAACCAAGGAGGTTCAGACCTGTTTAGAAAACAAAAGGAAACCAAAGATGAAGAGAAGAGAAGAGAAGAGAAGAGAAGAGAAGAGGAGGAAGAGAGAGTAGAAGAGAAAGAGGGATTCGGTCAGCTTAGTCTGCCACCCCAAGTGATATTTAAAATTAGGTATTCAACAATAAGTGGTACAATGACAGGAATGCCCGTGTCACTAGAAACAATAGAAAAAAAATTCTAACAGTATTATAACAGCACTATAAACAAAGGAAAACATATGAACAAGTGGGGACCACAAGCTGGTCAACCATTTTCTCTACACTCCCCCCTCAAGTTAGGAAAATATATTGATCATTCCCAACTTGCTTAAATTTGACTCAAGCTTGATTTTGTTGACTGCCTTGGTGAAGACATCGACAAGGTGCATATTAGTGGCAACATAAGGACGGCACACTTCTTGATAGGCAACTTTCTCTCGAATGAAATGCCTGTCAACTTCAATGTGTTTGGTACAAAGGCGACTCATAGAATCAAGAATGCAATATGTTTCACATCACATTAGCTACTTGAAGCAATGCAATTAAGGAGAAAAAGAGTTTATGGGTTTTACATGCTTGAAAATGCTTTATATGTTTGCTTTTATTTTTAAATTTTCATTTGAACACGCTTTAAAACATTTATTTTAAAATTTAAGTTTATATTTTTTTATTAACATTATGTTTAATATTTTTTGAATTTTTTACATTTTTTTTATTTTTTTGGCACTTTTTTTGAATTTTTTGATTTTTCTTATTTTTTAGCTTTTTTTTTTGTAATTTTGCGCCTTGTGCCTTTTTTGCACCTTGCGCTTTTAAAACACTGATCATATCCAAATAATGTGTAGTACAAATAACTACCGTAGCATTGGGATTATGAATCAAAACAGATAATGCATCCACTAACTCTCCCAGATTGTGAGGAGGAATGTTAGTTGCCATTCCAACCTGCCAGCATATAAAACCAAAATAATAAAAAAATTAGACATACTTCAAATAGCATATATCTTGAAAACAAGTAACGAGAAGAAAAAGGTTGATAATTAAAAATGGCAAGGAAAAGCAATTGAAGTTAAGCATAAATAACCGCACAAGAAATCTTAGGATGGGGTTACCGCAATCCCAGAAGAACCATTCAACAATAAAGTGGGAATTCGAGCTGGTAAAAGTGATGGTTCTTTTTGTGAATTGTCAAAATTTGGAACAAAGTCAACCTGAAACCATATGAAACAAATGGAAAATGAGAATAAGGTGAAAGTGGTCATAGCATGTGAAATATATGAATGTGGGGCAAAGGGAATAACACCCACAGTGTCTTGTTCAATATCTGCCAGCAGCATTGCTTCTGTGAGTCCCTGCCATTGTGAGACTAAAGCAAGTTACATCTTTACAAACTCATGGCATGGAAAATAAGTGACATATAAAACAGGCAAAAGGAAGTATTATATCAATGGTACCAAGAAGAATAGATGATCATTTTAGAGTAAGCCAAAAAGGAAAGATAAATATCTTTCTTTTCTTTCTTTTTGTTTTTTTGAACAGTAAGGCACACTTTTAATTAAAAAGGAAAAACAAGATTACAAGAAAAAGGTGAAGATTGACTATCAAAATATACAGTGAAGAAATCTTACCTTCAAGAAGGAAAAAACCGTCATTTTAACTCAAAAGCCATTTGCCATTATAAAGTAGATTGATTTAGACATATTGTAGTTTATTATTATGAGGAAAATGCAAAAAAAAAAAAAAAAAAAAAAAACTTGTAATAGAACATTAGGCCTTACTTCAAGCCTGCACTCTGTGTAACGCATGGCAGCAGGAGGATCTGCATCAATTGACCCAAAATTCCCATGACCTTGAATGAGAGGACAGCGCATGGCAAAATCCTAAAAAAAAAATAGCATATGCTTCAGAAAAAAAGGAAGTGAGAACAAACTACCAAGAATGAACAGAGAAGATGAAAGACTGATAAATGTAATGATATCAAAAAAGAATAAATAAAAATGAAGAAATATTTCTTAGAAAATTAATGCAAAATGAAAAAAAAAACAAATATTCAATATGGACAATTGTTGAAGAGTACATTATTTCAGCTGCCCACATATTTTATAACTTTATTTACAATGCCATCTGTGGCAGAAAAACTAGAAAAAAAAAATGCAAAAGGATTTTCTATGGTGAGGCCGAAGGAAGGAGAAAAATATATACTTAGGGTCTGTTCGTTTCCTCTTAACTCTCATCTCTTAAAAGGAATCTTTTAACTTTAAGAGAAAAATGGTTGTTCGTTTCCTCTTATTTCTTACTCTTAAAGTACAATCATACAACTTTTTTGTTTTTCAATGATACCCCCAAAAAGACAAACAAAAACTCTAATATATAACTCAAAATGGATATTTGATAATTTTCAGAATTCAGAATTCAGAACAACATTCTCTGCATTCAGAGTTCAGAGGAAAGAAAAGTCCACCAATAGCAATATACCTTTTTATGTAATTATTGCACTTTCAGATGTCAGACTTCAGAGCAAACGAACAGGCCCTTAATTGATTGGAATCAGGTCTGTCAATCATTAGCAGCTGGGATTTAGGAGTCAAGAAGCTAAAATTGATGAACACAGCTCTAATTGAAATGATTTTGGAGATTTAGCTACTCAGCCTCATACCCTCTGGAGGCAGATCATTTGCGCAATTCTTGGTACTAGGAATCGTAATTGGGATCCAGGTATCAACAATCAAGCTTATGGCTGTTCAATCTGGAGGGGCATAGGGAAGTTTTAACACAGTTTTTTACAAGGTGTTCAGCTAAAGGTATGTATTACAAGAGTTATATTTTGGCAGCAGGACACATTAGTCATTCTTTATATTGATTAAGTAGCAGCAATTCCGTAATTTTATCTGTTATTATGTTATACTAACAAAAGCAAGGAGCAGATTAGAGAAAGTTGATTAATCTCTAGTTGTCTTTAACCCTGATTTCTTCTCCTCTCATCTCTCCTTTCTCTATTTCTCTTCTCTACTGTTTTTCTTTTACTTTTTTCCTTCTACTCTAAAATTGATTTAGGTTATTTTTCATGGTATCAGAGAAATATTAATAACCTGAACCAATTTTTAGACCCTCTAATCTAGTGCCACAGTTTTCTTTTTTTTTTATTTCTGTATGTATAAAGAGGCTAGCTGACTGCTGACCTACTGTCTCTGATTGTATCCAACGGAAGAGGCTGCCATGCCTCGGTTTGGTGGTTTCTGTGTGGATCAAGTAGTGGTATGAGTCTCTCTAGTCAACAGTTCAAAGAGGGTTCTGTTACTGGATGTTACAGGTGAGTTTTTCCTTCAGTTTCTTATGCGACTCATAGAGGGTGGGCCTTGGCACAGCGATTGGGTTGCTCCATTCCAACTAGGTGACTAGGGTTCAAATCTTGGAAACAGCCTTTCTGTATGTGCAGGGGTAAGGCTGTGTACATCTGTCCCTCCCCAGATCCCGGATTGGTGGGAGCCTCGTGCACTGGGCCGCCCCATATTTTTTATTCGACTCATGTCACTGTGCACTCCGTTGAATATTTTAAGTTGCTCAAAGTCAACTTTAGTGGAGCAGTTATTAGGGATGAGGGAGGCACTATGTATGCCCCCTCATCCCCCACATATACTAATGGTGATAACAAATCTGGAATGATGATGAATCCAGATTTCATTGCCGTACACATGACCTCAGTCATGTTCAATGGTGATAACTGTATTCCATGCACAAAGTTGGTTGAGGTATTTCATACTAGAAAAGGAAACTTAAAATATATTCAGGATCCAAAGCCAGAAAATGGATCTGAAGGTTATAGCAAGTGGGTGCAAAAAATGCAATGATTACGACGACAACAGATGAAAAAAAAATTTAGACCCTTTTTTATAGTAAAAGGAAATATGGGATCATGTCAAGCAACTTTGTAATTTAGACCCTTTTTTATAGTAAAAGAAAATTTTATTAATGAAAAAAAAAAAAGAAAAACTGGACAAAACGACAACAGATGCTAAGATAGCACCACCTACCAAGCACACACAAATTGACTCTTTCCAACCAACAAAAAGAAAAACAAAGAAAACAAGCAAACACAACAAGAAACACTTCTTCTCAATACCAAAACCCATTATTCAAGAATGATATGGATTCATTTGATGAAAGATTGTTTTGAACTGTTCTACTCCTATTGAAGATACAGTTCGGCTAATACAATTACAGATATTCCCCTTGAGCCTACTATTGTTTCTGCTCCTATTGAAGATACTCATGTACCTAACATTAATGTTGGAGATGATATTGATACTCCCATTGCTCTCCACAAGAGAAAAAGAATGTGTACAGCCCATTGCATTTCACGCCATCTCCCTTACCTATATCCCCAATACCGTGCCTTCCTTTCTTTCCTTGATTTTGTGTCTTTACCAAAGAATGTTAGTGAGACTCTCCAAACCTAAGTGGAGAACAGCTATGCAGGATGAAATTGAGGCTTTGATTAAGAATCAGACATGAGAAATAGTTGATCTACCTACAAAAAATGAGACAATTGGATGTAGGTGGGTGTTTAATGTAAAGTATAATGTTGATGGCAGCATAAAGGGGTACAAGGCAAGGCTGGTTGTAAAAGGGTACACAAAGACCTATGGAATAGATTACCTGGAGACCTTTGTACCAGTAGCTAAAATGAACTCAGTTAAAATTCTTCTAGCTTTGGCAGATACTTATTCGTGGCCACACTTCCAGCTTGATGTCAAAAAATGCCTTACTTAATGGTGATTTGCAAGAGGAAGTGTATATATGGACCTTCCAGCCAATTTCTATAATGATGTTGGTAAAGGAAAGATGTGCAGACTAAAGAAGTCTTTATATGGGTTTGAAGCAATTACCTCGAGCATGGTTTGACAGATTTCGAGGGTATTAATCCATTTTGGATATACACAGACTCAGTCAAATCATACTCTCTTTGTGAAAAGGAGAGGATCTATTGTATCAATGTAATTGTTTATGTGGATAATATAGTTATTTCAGAGAATAATGTGATTGAGATTGATGCACTCAAGAAGTCATTATAGTAGGAGTATGAAATCAAAGGACTAGGTTAGATAAAACATCTTCTAGGGATTGAAGCTACAAGATTTAAACATGGGATATTCATCTCTCAGAGAAAGTATGTGTTGGACCTACTAGAAGAAACCGAGAAGCTAGGAGCCAAACCAGCTAATACTCCTATTGATCAGACCCACAAAATTAATGTTTTAAGATAGTGATTGGTGAGTTGGTTAAGGATGTAGGGAGGTATCAGAGAATGGTGGGCCAACTACTATATTTGTGTATGATCCATCAAAATATTTCTTATGTCATCAGTTTATGAGCTAATATATGCTCCTCAGGTCACTAGGTGGCTATTGATAGGATTCTTTCATACTAAAGAAACATCCTAGAAGAGGAATTTGTTTGTTAATCATGGAAACTTAAAACCAAAATCCTATACAAATGCAGATCAAGCAGGATGCCTAGATGGCAAAAGATCTACATCAAAGCCTCAGGGATTTGTACCTTTGTGGGAGGAAATATGGTCTCATGGAAAAGTAAAAAGTAGTTGGTTGTGGCCAAGTCAAGTGCAAATGCAGAGTAATTTATAGCACATGGTGTCTCAAAACTTTTCTGGATTTGGTCCTTATTGAGTGACATTAGTAGTAGGCTGGTTGCAAACAAATAGCTTGGGAATGTGGTCCCTTAAACAACCTGTAAGGGAACAATTGAGCCTAACAAGGGAGCTGGGTGCAAATGTTAAATGGACTAGGAGGTCAGCAAATGCTTTATTCGATAATCTAGCAAAGCAAGGTGTAAATCGGGAGTCTTTGTTTTGGGCTGTTTTGTAATTTGATTTATGATGAGGGGTCGCCTTACATCCCTATAGGTGATAGTTGTACTTCTATTTTTAAGCTAATGAAAGTTATCGTTTCCTATCAAAAAAAACATTGTAATAACTATAGATATGCTGAATTATCAATAAAATTATAGACATGGTGAAAACATTGTAAAATACGCAAAATATAGAAAGATATTTTATGAAATGATGAAAGAAACATAGGCACACCCTTTTAAACTATTATCTTGTTCCAAATTGCTAAACAAAGCTAAGAACAAAGGTTATGGACAAAAGAATGTATTTTGAAGTTGTCCTGTAAACCTTAAGATTCAGAGCTTCATGATAAAACGAGTTATAGAAAATTTTAAACTCGTAGAAAATGTGAATGGAGATCAACCAAATAATCTATTACACACAAAAACTAATATTTAACTTCATGTTTGAAATGAATATTAAGCTTAGCTTGAGCCTTGAAGTGGTAATCGTGTAAGTTAGACATGCAATAACATTGTTACTCCACATATCTACAATATTGTCACCAACTTATGTTATAATTCCATTTCTTGTACTCCACAAGTCCACGTAGTGCTAGTAGTTTTCACTAGGGAATATGTAGGTTCCAATCAAATTTCATATCACTACCCATGGAAGTGGAAATGGAAATATGTCATGGAAACTATCTCTTGTACTCCACATAGTGTTGGTAGTGTTCTTTGGGGAATATATCAATTCTGATAAAAATTTGTGTCACTAACCATGGAAATGGAAATGGAAATATGTCGTGGAAACTATCTCTTGTACTCCACATAGTGTTGGTAGTGTTCTTTGGGGAATATGTCAATTCCAATAAAATTTTGTGTCGCTACCCATGGAAATGGAAATATTAGGGAAATTAGGGACATTTTAAACCTTGTTCTAAACAAACTAAAGAGAATAGAGACTAGAAATTAACAGACATCTTGGTATAGAAAACCGAAGTTGACAATATCAAAACATTACCTGTGCCATCCGAACCAAAGAATCATAAACAGCAGTGTCCCCATGTGGATGAAATTTACCTAGAACCTGCAAGAAAAATAAATAAGCATCTTGTTAGAAATATGTGCATAGATATCAATAACAAAAGTATGTCTCATTAACAAGGAAATCCATATGATCAAAAAGACAATAAAACCAAAATGTTCAATTCTAAATTACAATTCAGTTTCGCATGAAAGAACCATTATTGTCATGCATTACCTCACCAACCACTCTAGCACATTTTTTATATGGCTTGCGAGACGAAAGGCCCAACTCATGCATTGCAAATCTGTAAGCAAAATTTAAACACACAAGCAAAAACATATTATGCATATTTAAAAGAAATACCTATATTGCTCATAAATTCTTAGCATATGGCGGATTCTGAAAATAAATAAAAATATTCTTGCAGAAGTGTTCATGAACAATTTTTATCTAAAAATATATTTTACCCCCCCCCCCACACCACCAAATCAACTGTTAAAGAATTTGACTAAAAAAGTAAATATGAAAAACTCATTCAAATGAAAAATGCAGGACAAAAGGAAAGAGGAGAAACTAAAACATACATGGGCAAGGGGAAATATTAGTGTAATAACTTTTTTTCATCAGCAATAGATTTACCAAGGGGTGGGATAGAACAGGATGCTGTCATCAAGGATTGTTAATGGAGTTCATGCAAGCATGTCGGTGGAGGAGATCCTTGAAGATAGAAGCAAAAAATGTTTTGTTCAAAGAGATGAGAATCAAGGGGAAGGTAAGCCTGAAGGTAAGGAAAGTGAAAAAGGGTACAATAATGCTGGAAGGATTTGAAGTGATTGAGTGGCTAAGAGATTTCATAGCTGGAGCCTGTTCAAAAGGTAAGCAGATACACTGGAAGGATTTTAGTACATTAGAAGGGAGAAGGTATGTAGTTGAATGTAAGAGGAATAGAAAAGGCTCCTTCATAGCTTTGTCTGAATATTTTGGAAAGGGACGAAGGCAACTGGTGTGTCTACCAGCAGGAAAACAGAGCCAAGGTTGGGGGGAAGTTGACTGGTTGCTCAAAGAGCTTTTAGCTCAAAGAGTAGCAAATGATAAAAAAGCCTCCACAAGGGAGGAGAAGGCATATCATAGCAACAGCAGGGTAGAACAAGGGCCAGTGGTCATGGCAAAAACAAAATGCCAATGCAGAATGGTAGAAGGTCTACAGAGAGAAGAGTGGGACAGTAAGTTTGTGATAGAAGCCAAGGAAAAGGTTAATGATTGGAGGAGGGTAGCTGACTTACTGGCAACCAGTTTGAAGCTGAAGAGTGTCTTCATAGTAACCCCCTTCGATAACTGTAATGCCCTTCTAGATCCAGTAGAGAATGAATTGGAAATATCAGCTATCAATATTCAGGCGGATTTCGGATCATTCACAGTCTTTAAATGGAATCCAACATCCAACTCCAAGGATTTCTTTGTCGAAGATGGTGTGGCGGTGCGTGTAATAGGCTTGCCATTTCATCCGTGGAAACAAGAAGTAACAGAATCTATAGCAGTATTGTGGAGGAAAACTGGAAGGAGCTTTCTGGGGTGATCTTTATTCAGTAGCAATCCTGCTCAGTGGTGTGAAGCCAGAAGACATTCCACGAAAGGTAGAGGTAAGAACAGAGGGGAGTTTTGTTTCTGTGTGGCTAGCATCCTCCATTGAAGCAGGACTGTGGAAAAAGGCTCGTATGGAAGGAGATGAGAAGAAGGAAGAAGAAGCACTACGTGGACTTGTGAGATTGGTTAATTCAAATGGGAAGGAATATTTCACTAAAAAGGGCCAAAACGTTTTGGGGCAGATGGAAGGTCAAACCTGTAGAAAGAAAGAGAAAAAAGAGGATGTGTTAAACACCTTGGGAAAGTCAGCATGGCAGGGTGGGTTGAGGGACAGCAAGTCCTATGTTCAGTCCGTGACAGGGGAATTAATTGGAGATAGGCTTGCTTCAGTTCAAATTTCAAAACAAATTGAGCAGAGATCAGCAAGGTCTCAGGGTTTGAGCCAGTCCTGTGAGCCGGTTCAGTCTGGTTCAATAAACCAAGGCCAGTCACATGTTGTCTTAAGTAAACACGTGACTGGCAAGGGGATGGAGGGGTTGGGCCCAGGCCCATCAGGACCTAATGGGCCTAGTCAAGAGAATGGCCCGGCTATTTCAATTCCGGTGGACCCAGAACTTAAAAAGCCACGCACCTTTCTAAGTAGGCACGTGACTGGCAAGGGGATAGAGGGGTTGGGCCCTGGTCCATCAGGACCTAATGGATCTGGTCAAGTGAATGGGCCAGCTCTTTTAAATCAGGTGGAGCCAGAATATAAAAAGCCACGCGCCCTTTTAAGTGAGCACGTGACCAAGGGAGATGGGGAGATGATGGACCGAAAAGTTGGTCTATCATCGTCTCCCTTGAGCAATTCGCAAACAGCACCTGAAGGAGGTAGGGTTTGCCGCAGTGGTGCGCCAAATCTGAACTGGGAATGGTTCCCAAGCTTGAAGAAAAAGGGCTTCTCTCCAGAACGGCGCAATCTGAGGTTCAAGAAGCATCATCCGACAACAGTGGAGACAGGGTTCGCCCTTTTTCTGGCGAAAGAAAATCAGAATATCAAGGATGCATTCGAGGACTACGAGACGGAGGAAGAAAGTAGCTCAGATTCAGAGTTTGAAGGCTCTTCAAGCATTGGAAGCATGGAACTGAAAAAAGCCAAGCCCCTTAGCGATAATGAGAGCCTACATACCGAGCTGCTTTTTTTGGAAGACGGCGACTCGGAGTTAAAAGACTCAGTTCAGGAAAAGCTTACTCAATCTTCCCCCTTACCTAAGGAAGTGGGGTCTACCACAGCTTTTATAGAGGAGAGGCAAAGGTTACCAGCTCCTAATTCTGCTCCCAGTTTGCTAGAGCGGCAAGGTACTGATAGAAGACTAGAGGAACAAGACTTACCTAGGTCACCAAACACAGTGGCTTCAATCAGGGGACAACATCTAAAGGCAGATGCTAATGCAAGGAATAAAACAGTATTGATTGAACACAACGGGGACCCACAGTCACCTCTTTTGGAAGGATTAGGCGCGACCTTGCCCCTTTGTTTTGCTTCTCAAGATCCATTGGCCTCTTCCCACAACCTGTCAGGTAATATTGTCAATTCGTTTTTTGGTACTGATGTGGGTTTTCTGCCTGGAACAGGTGCTTTTGCGGCTCAACTCAATGCAACAACCATGGAGAGAAAATACTTAATTGGGGACAAGGAGGGTAAAGGATGAAAGGAAGTGGAAAGGGGAAGAGAACTACAGAAAGAGTAGTTATGGAAGATCCGGGATCAGATCTGTAGGTTTTGGGAGTACAAGAGAAAAGAGGAAGAGGTAGGGAAGCATGGGGTTCAAGAAGGTTCAATAAAAACAGGAACTCAAAGTAGCAAAAAAGCTGGGGATGAATCAATTATGGGAAAGGAGGAGGAATTAAAGAGGATTTGGGGACAGATTTGTGCTCTCCTTGAGGAGTATAGGCAATTAGAGGAACCTGTGGAGGAAAACCAAGAACTTTAGGAAAGGCAAAATAAAACAAAAGCTGTGTTAAACAGATCTGGAATAATTAACAACCGAAGAAAGAAGAAAAGATCAGAGGTGGAGAGGTTGATATCAGATATAGAAGAAAATTTGGAGTTCAGCGGAAGAGGGGAGAGAAGGAAAGCCTCCAAGTAAGGGCCTGATCTTAGGAGGGGATGCCAAATCTTTTATCTCCATGAAAATCATCAGTTGGAATGCAAGGGGGCTGGAGAGTACAAGGAAAAGAAGGCTAATTAAGGACCTCCTTAGAAGGGAAAGGCCGGATATAGTGATGCTACAGGAGACCAAATTAGACGCTATTGATAGAAGTTGGGCAAGAAGTATCTGGAAATCTAAAGGAATAAATTGGGTTTCAGCTCCCTCTTGGGGGGCTTCAGGGGGAATGGTTACTTTTTGGAGAGAGGATGTTGTGGAGGTGGTGGAGGAGCTAGTAGGAAATTTTTCAATGTCGTTAAAATTCAAGATGGTAGATGATGGTTTTACTTGGGCACTAATGTGTATGGACCAAGCAATTACAGAGAGAATAATGATTTTTGGGAAGAACTTTATGGGATACAAGGACTTTGGGAGGGTCCATGGTGCATGCGGAGATTCAATGATTTTATTAATAACTATAAATTAAAAGAACTCCCAATGCTGCAAGCCCTCTATACCTAGTCCAACTTTCAAGAGACACCAACCTGCTCTAAGTTAGATTCCTTTTCAATGAAAGCTGGGAAAATAAGTGGGCGGATTTGATAACTAAGGCTCTACCGAGAGTCACTTCTGACCACAGCCCCATTGGCCTAGGACAGGAGCCTTTTAGGCAAGGACCCCGACCTTTTAGGTTTGAGAACATGTGGCTGACTCACCCAGACTTCCTGAAGAAGGTTGAGGAATGGGGGAGAGAACACATAAGGGGGGTGAAGTGGACAGGGGTAAGATTTCACAAAAAACTTAAAAGACTGCGAGCACATGTGAAGGAGTGGAATAAGGAGCATTTTGGGGGAATAGAAGAATTGAAATCCTCTCTGTTGACCCAAATAGAAGAATTGGATGCAAAGGAATCCCAAAGAACCATAAGCCCTCAGGAGAGAGATCGGAAATGGGAACTAAAAAGAGAGTTAGATGAAGTTGTTTTGAGAGAAGAAATTTCTTGGAGGCAAAAGTCTAGATGTAAATGGATTAAGGAAGGAGATGGTAACACTAAATTCTTTCATAACCTAGCCAATGGAAGAAGGAAAAACCTAGTGTCCAAGCTGGAAGTGGATGGAATAATCTTTTGATACCCAAGAGAGGATAGCCAATTGTTTTGTTGACCACTTCAAATCCATTTTGAGGAGACCCCTAAGACCTAGGGTGGAGTTGGAAGGCAATACCTGGCAGAGACTTCCAGAAGAGAGTAAGAAGCTACCTGGAAAGGAATTTTGAGGAGAAATAAATCAGAAAAGCCGTTTTTTCAATGGACAAGTCAAAAGCACCAGGACCAGATGGGTTTACAATGGCTTTCTTCCAAGACTGTTGAGACGTAGTCAAAGAAGATTTAATTGAGGTCTTTAAGGAATTTGAAGATAATCCAGTCATGAGTCATGGAATTAATGCTACTTTTTTAGCCTTAATTCCCAAGAAGAAAGAGGTCAAGCATCCAAAGGATTTTAGACCTATTAGTTTGGGGACTAGTGTTTACAAGATTGTGGCTAAGGTCTTATCTTTAAGGATAAAAAAGGTGCTTCCTTGTCTTATCAGC